GAGCGCTCGAGGAGAACGAGGTGTGGGCAGTGGTGGTACCGCCTACGGGCAGCCATGTATTGCACACGAAATGGTCCTTTAAGACCAAGACGGATGCCGATGGAGCCATCGAGCGATTCAAAGCTCGGCTGGTGGCCTGCGGAAACGAGCAGTTGTTCGGTATCGACTACGGGCTCACGTTTGCCGCGGTGATGGAATTGAGCACTGTCAAGGTGATATTGGTGTTTGCGCGGCGCTAGGGCGTGCCTGCGAGGCACAGGGGCATCCCCAACGCGTACGTGAAGGCCGAGAAGGAGCAGCACCTGGAAATCTACCTGGCCATCCCGAAGGGAATGGAGATCCCGGAGGAAGTACTGCGGTTGTTCAACGTGAGAGGCAGCACCAAGCTGACACTACGGCTGAAGAAGTCACTGTACGGCTTGAAGCAAGCCAGACGGTTGTGAAGTAAGCTGCTCCACGCCAAACTCGAGAAGCTCGGGCTCACGCGCATCGTCGCAGACATGTGCTTGTAGTACAAGAGGCAGGGCAGTAAGATGACGATCGTGGGCGTATACGTGGACGACCTACTGGTCACCGCGTCCGTCTCCAGCTTAGTCGAGGAGTTCTTCTCAAAAATGAGTACTCTGTCCATCTAGGATTTGGGCGAGGTGAGGAAATTTCTCAGCATACGCGTGGAGCTGAATGAACAGGGAGACTACAATCTCGACCAGCAAGCAGCCATCGAGGAGCTGCTGGAACAACACGGGCTCGCAGAGGCGAACGGTGTCAGGGCGCCAATCGGAGAAGACAGTATCGAGGTGGAGCCTTAGAAACTGGAGCTGCTACCAAAGATAGCCGCCCGCGGACAACCGACGATCCAAGGATTCCAATCGCGCGTAGGTAGCCTGCTCTGGGTCGCGCGGTGTACAAGGCCAGACATTAGCTTCGCCGTTCACAAGGCGACGCGACGCACGCACCAGCCGTCAACGATCGACTGGATGCTCGCAAAGAGGATCGCGCGCTACCTGAAAGACATGAAGCATCTCAAGTTGGGGATGTACGTCGACGTGACCAGAGACCAGAGGATCAGGATCAAGAGCTGGAGCGACTCGGACTTCGCTGCGGACAAAGCGACAGAAAGTCAGTAGCTGGAGGAGTCGTCACCATGGACGGCGCCATAGTACAGTGGATCTGCAAGAAGCAGACGGGTGTCTCGCTCTCCACCATGGAGGCCCAGTTTACCTCAGCATCACACGTTGGACGAGAGCTGCTTGGCCTGCGAGAACTCGTGCGTGAGCTGGCATTCGAGGCGGTGCAGCCCATGGCCATGGACATGGACAACCAGGCAGCGATCAGGCAGCTGGAGTCCGAGGACAGCACAGCGAGCGCCAAACACGTAGACATACGCATCAAATTTGTGTGCTACTTTGCGAGAAAGGGGATCTTGAAACCCGAGTACGTTGAGTCGCGTCTTATGATGGCGGGCCTCTTAACAAAGGCCCTTCCGGCACCCAGGATGACCGAGCTGCGGGAGATCTTCAACTTGAAGAAAGCGTAGCGAGCGACGGCCGAGGAGGAGTGTTAGAATTGTGCATGAGGTTACACTGGTGTAACCGCGGTCCCGTAACCGGAGTCGGCCGCCACTCCCGCGGATGGTGAGAACACTGTTGGAAGCGCGAGAACGCAGGTAAGAAGGTTAAATAAAGAGCCTAACTTCTCAATATACGGTGTCCTTCCACAGATCAAACTAACAGTACTGAGCAATCTTCACCTTATTCGAGCCAGGGAGATATGACGCTGTGCGTTTGGAGGCGTTAAAGTCACTGGCTCCAGTCAACGCGTGCAATGCTGACCCTGCTTCATTGTAGCTTGCATTTGCAGATCTGTTGCAGTGTAATCGCATCACAGATTTACGTGCGAGGAACACTTTGTGGAGGCGGATCAATTATAATTACAACTCCAACTGGGTTTGGCGGAAGATCCAGGTCCTCACACGAAGAATGTTTAGACACGTAGTTTTTGGTAAGTGGCGGCAGAAGAGATGGTCGTAGTTGAGCAGCTGAGCATTTTTGGATGGGTGGGTTGCGTTGCGTTTTGCGAAGATTGGTAGAAAGCGCTTGTCGTGAAGGAGAAGTTCTGGAGTGAGAGAGATCGCTTTCTAGTTGCCACGCAGCTGAATTTACTTACATTTGAGGTCATCTCGTAGTGATAATTATAGGGACATTTAAATCAAAGAATCGAGAGCGATGCCCGATAGGATTATAGCTAAAACTTCGTTAATGCTCAATAAATACTTTACTTTCATTGTAATGAAGTGTCGCTCAACATCCGGTACTTATTGCATGTTCTTTTGGCGAGCAGCAAAAAAGTATGCTCGATAATTTCTCCCACAACGGCCTGTCCCGGCCTTTCTGACTATCCCGGTTTAAAAAAAATCTAACGTTATTCTTATAAAGTACAGCTTTTTTGCTAAAAAAAAAAAGCCTGAGGGTTTTACATGTCACTGCTGTTCAGGTAAATAATATTTTATGATTTGATCTTTTTTTAAAGTTTTACCGGTAAGTACCGGTATTGAAATACAGGTGATCGTTTTGCTACATTGTAAGCTGCGATTCCACAACATATGCTGTACAGTGTGGTACAGTCCCGTACCACATATAATAATGCGACATGGTCTCAAGCGCACATCCCTGAATCTGACAATATGGCAATACCGGAATCTAGTGGTGCATGACGGACAGGCATGTCCGCAGGGGGTATTTTCAAAATCGTGCCCTTTCGGCCGAAAAAAGGAATCCTGAGAATTTGAAAAAGGTGCGTGGCGATTATACTGATTTTTTGTAAGTGCATTAAGATTGGGCATCTTTTTTCACATCCAAAGGTAATTTCATAAAACAACCTTCACTAGGTCTTCCCTGGTAGAATTTCCTTCAAGGGGTACATGTATTAAACTTTTGAAAACTTCAAATGGGTGGTTTGTACTTTTTTTGAACTTTGTACTGCAAGGGGTGGCAGTGCCAGTGGCACTGCGGACATGCTTGATGACGAAGTCCATTGGGAGGCCCATCAGAGTATGTGGCGGAACTGCATCAAGCAGCTTGTAGCGGCTGCAAAGTGCTAGCTCGACCAGTGCTAGCTCGACCAGCAATGACAACCCCAAGGCCTCCACCTTCAAATGTGCCTTCTGGAGGCACTCCGCCAGTATGAAGGTTGAAAGAGGAAGACAGGGACCCGATACCACCTGCGCTCGCTTGTAACCAGAAGTCTGAAACTTCGATTTTGCAAAGTTGGTTGGAAACAATACCAGGGCAGGCTGGGTAGATAAGGATCAAATATACGTTCCTTTCTCTCCTCTCC